CATACATACACACATGCACACATACAAATGTGCGTCGGGGTGGGCGGGTGGTTATGTGCATAGTATGGCGTAGCAGGTATGTTTGTTTCTGTCTGTACGTATGGATGAGCATGCAAATCTTCATATGTAGGGAGGAAAGGGAATACAGGTCGCACACAAACGCATGTCGGAAAGCGTTGCTTCTTCGTATTGGCTCATACTTGTACCAGCTAGCCTGCAGTCCTGGACCGGCCTCCCCGAGAGAGCTGGAGAGGTCTCGGATGCGCCCTGGCAGTGCGTTGGCGGGAAAAGTCTACAGATCATGACCAGCGATTTTGCTAAAGTATGCGAAAGTTCTCGTGGCTTCTGCTCATGATGCACCGTGATCCAAGCCTTCACTTCCTAAACTAAAACATGTGGCCTCGGGCAGCAAGCACGGCATCAACACGCTCGCGCATCACCTGGAACAAACCACACTTGTGGACGTCGTGGGGCCAGGAACAGAGAGTCTGACTGGTAACATGCAGAATGCTTCTTGTCGTAAGGAGAACCGGTGGGAGCCATTGCTTACAGAGCTTCTTCCCTTTGGCACTCTGCCGCAGACAGTTCTACAGATTCTACAGTCATGCATGCCTTCAACTCGAACCTTCAAGCCCCAAATCCCACGGACCATCTCCCCCCATCGGTTCTCAGACGAGGCACTTCGTCCAGCCGCTGAAGCTGCATCTTCAAGGCCTGGCTGGCTTCACGACAGAAGGGCGGACACAGAAACAGAGACTGAAATAGCTTGGCCGAGGCTTTGCCAGTCAGTCCAGAGGCTTCTTACCCCAGACGTCACAAGAAGGGCCACGTTCCAACTTATTGGCAATCGGCAATCCTCTCTGGGTGACAGGGGCGCGAAACGCTGCAAGGTTGGATTCGTTGACATGGCATAAGGTCCACACCGTCGACTACTTGCAAGGGCTGTCGAGCGTGTCGAGTTATCTCATGCCACTCTCACTCTGCAGAACTGCAGCAACAAGATGAAATCCAACCATGCATCCTTCGCGCCTTGACTGCTGGCCCCCCGGTCAGAGAAGGATCCACTGCCTGGGATCTGGCACGGCCGAGGTCGGGGCATTCCGTGCCGCTCAACAAACAAAGGCCCTGTGATTTCACGGGCCGGCCTCGTGCCGGCTTCCTCACTGATGAAAAGGGTTCCTCAGGTGTGCCTCGATGCCTCGACCACCTACCCTCCCCCTCCACGCAGGACCAGCATCGTGCTTCCGCAACGAAGCGAAGGAAGGATAAAGAAGCGTGAAGCGTGCTTCAACACGACGACACGCAAGAGTGCCTATCTATGCGCAGCACATTGTGCAGAGACTCTCGCATGCTGCGCGCTACAGTATGTATAGTGTCGCCTGAACGCCTTGCGTCCTTTCGAGGCCTTCTCATATTCGCCATGAGTCTCCGAACAGGTGTATACTGAGCTGAGACGCTCCCGTCGGAAGTCGGGTGGTAAACAACCGCACGCTTGCCAAAGTTGCACCCTTACAGCTGCAAAAGCCGGAAATACTGGTAGCCGGAATTGCAACGCAAGTTCCGTCTGAAAAAAGCCGAAAGCCCCATGACTTGCAGTCCGGCAGGCATAGTCTGATTCCTCCAGGTTCAATCGCTTGCACTCTTTGGCCACTTTGGCGCGAAGCTCCTGTCACGGAAGCCGTTGTTTGGCCCAGGGCGAAGCACCGGACCGAGTTGGGCAAACGAGAATGAAATCACAAATCTAGAAGACAACAACGCACAAACGCAACGTTGTGTCCCCAGGCCTTAAAATCTAGAATCTAGACACTCGCCGAGCAAACGCGGATCCCTTTTGGGGATTTTTGGGGGCCAGCCGGGCAGCAGATCACGACCCAAGTGATGTCCGAGCAGCTTGAATCTCTGTCCCCTGCCGCTTCTTTGCTTTTTCCAAGCCTTGGTCCCCATCTCATCTTGGCAAGAGCTGTTTGAAGGGTGGCGGGCGTGTTCGCACGGACGTCTTCTTTTTCCGCACTCTTCTAGGCAAGTGTTCAATTCATGCTCGAAGAACGGTTGTCGTTCAGTATATACACTCTTTGCAGGCCAAGTCCTACGATAACTTGATCAAGCTAGTACAAAGTCCGATTACTGTGCTACACTCGACCGAGCATTGGTGCTGTTAGAGACTCATCAAGTTACCTTAGGATCTGGCTGGTTCTGTCTCACGAAATCGCTACTCACCCCTCGGACTGCCATCTCCATGAAGGAACTGTTTGCAGTGCCATTGAAGAATGGGTCTTCCAGCTGCCTGAACCTCTCAAACCTAGAGGTCAAATCCCCAGTAGCAGCACGAAGCGCCTTCTCATCCATGCCTAGCAATACCTGGCCGAACGGTATGCTAAGATCCTTGCAATAAGCACGCGAGGTCTCGACCCACTCCTCGAATTTTGCTTTATCTACCGTCGCCTTCGCGAACTCCTCTTCGGTGACCAAGGCACCGTCGAGGGCATCAAGAATAGCTGCCTTGTCAATGTTCACGCCAATGACCACCAATTCTGTTTCGCGATCACCCCAAAGTGGGTCCCACCCATCTGGAAGAATGTCGTCCTGACCTTCTCCCTGTGGGTCATCTTCATAGGTGTCTGCAGCCTCTTGAATAGCTGCTTCGAAGGGCCGTGCCGGTTGCAGCGAAAATGTGCGGCCAACTATGGTCCAATCGAGCGCATACGCGCAACAGTTTGCCATCCAAATTTGGCCCTTGCTTCGGATCACCCCACGGAATGGCTTCTGCTTAGCTTTTTCGGTGGGCTTTCCTGTCGCCAGGTCTACCAAGCCGAATCCATCCCTCGCGCTGTACAGCCTTGTGGGGTGGAACGGCCGTTTCGCGCGGAAGACAACGGAAGAGATTCCATATTCTTCAGTCTCGGGAATGTGGTTGACGTTCATCAACTCCTGCATCCAACCTGCGCTGGCTCTGGCTTTCTCGAAATCAAACCTCCCAGTCCCCAGCACCGTATCCCTGCCACCTTTCTCAACTTGCGCGAAGGTCGTCCACACTAGCAGTGCCAGGGGATTTAACCTCTTCACAAGTGCCTCGACCTGCGGCTTCAGACTCGCTCCCCCGGGCATTTTCAGCAACATGTCCTCCTTGTTCAAGATGATCGTGTTTGCGAATTCGAGCTGGTCTAGCATGAGATCTACGACGGTCTTGTCTGCATTCACACTGCTGCCATTTGTACTTGCTTGGTCTCTTTGAACTTCTGCCTTGGTAAGCCCCGAAGTGGCCAGAGTAGTACCGCCCTGCACCTCGTTAGTACCGCAAAGCGCCTCGACAATCAACGGCGCATCTGCAACGGTCACCATCGTGTCGAGGCGGCACATGCGCTGCAGCTCGATGGCGCGGACAGCGAGCTGCTTGTCCTTCTGTTCCTTGTCTGCCAGAGCCCTCTGGTACTTGTACTCTGTCTCGTTCTTGGGCTCTTGCTCTTCCTTAGCCACGTGCGAGTGTTCTTCCTCGCGCTGAGCCAAATGCTCCAGCTCTTCCAGGGAGTGGCAGAAAGTTTGCGCGACTGGGACAGGCTCTGATATGCCAGTGCTCTCGATCAGCAGATAGTCGAATTTCTGCTCAGCGGTGGCAATCTCAGATACTTGCTCGACCAAGTCCTCGCGCAACGTGCAACAAATGCATCCATTCTGCAGCGAAACGAGCTTCGGTACGCTGGCCTCAGACTCCTCAACCTCGTCTCCGGAATCTTGGGGGTCTCCGCTCTTCTTGCGCTTCCGATTTTTCTTCTTGCCGTCAGAGATGGCTTGCTCCACCAGCTTGGAATCCCAATTCAGCGAGGCCATATCATTCACAATTACAGCAACCTTCAAGCCCTGCTTATTCTCGAGGATGTGCTTTAGAAGCGTCGTCTTGCCTGCGCCCAGAAAGCCAGAGAGAACCGTTACTGGCAGACGAGTGTCCTTGCTCCGGTCCTTGGGCTCGGCCTCGCTGGCATGGTCATGACATTGGCCATGGCTGTGACCATGTGCGTGGCCGTGCCCTGAATGCGCAGCGTTGGCATGGTCACAATGGCCATGGGCGTGACCATGTGCATGGCCCGAATGCGCGCCGTTGGCATGGTCACAGTGGTCATGGGGGTGACCATGTGCGAGCCCTGGGTGGGCATCGGAGCCATGGTCACAACGGTCATGGGCGTGACCATGTGCGTGCACCGAATGGTCATCATCGTCATGACACTGGTCATGGGAGTGACCATGAGCGTGCCCCGAATGAGACATTCGGGCTGTGTGCTGTATAGGAAGTCCTCCAGGTTCAATATCTACAAGCCAAGATGGCTACGGAACGACAGTTTCTTGCTTGTTGCTGTCCTTCTGATGCTTGAATAGTTCAAGTTCAACGGGGTCCGCAAACAAGCTTGCTGTCCAATTCTGCTCAGCGGCGCTCGATGGTCGCTTTCACGCCAGCACGCTGCTCAGAAAGTGGGGTATTCTCCTCCGACTCAACCGCATCACCATCATGCCTTCCCCAGCGCGGACGAGCCAGCTGCACAGCATAAGCCTACAGTCAAAGTGTCCGACCCAGAGCTGAAGGACTGTGAAGGATCGTCCAGGTCCTGCTTCACCGGAGGTGCCTCGCCGACATCTGCAGCGAGTTTGGACGCCTCCTCCAAGGCCTGTTGAAATGCAAGAATGTACAGTACAAAGGGACGGAGAAGTCGAACTAAGAGAGTTCGAGGAGAGGTTTTCCAACTCTCTCACATATTGGGTCTGCTCTCTGAGCGCAGCTACTAGTCACTAGTCGCCTCTCACCAAGTGGCCTTTTATATTATTGATGTCCCGGCGGCCAGGCACCTTGTCCAGCTTGTCGCGGTTTTTCTGGAGCCAGTTGCGCTCACTCTCCAAGATGGGACCTCGTTCTGAATGGCCAGGCATGGGCTTCAGGCCACTACAGGCCTTTGGCTCACGAAATCCCTCCCAACTGCCCGGCTTGCCTAGCTTCGTCCGCACACCATTGGCACGATTGGTTGCATCCTGCGGCAGCAAGGCTTGGTGCCGTCGAGTCACAGCTGCAACGAGGGCATCGAGTCAAGAAGTAAAGAACTGTGACTATCCCTATCACTGCACTGCATCAGATGATCTGTTGACTGTTCCTCTCATTATGTGGTTGGTTCATTTCTGCACGGAGTGCCGAACATCTAGTTCGATTCCACAGTTGCAAGGATGCGAAAAGCATAGAAAAGCGCGTGCGGAACATTCTCCGTCAGCTCCTCAGGAGAAAGCTCCGGACGCCGCCAAAGCTTTGCGAGCTCTGTTAAGAAGACCTCGGTCTCGGCAAAGACCGCACCTTGGCGACGCTGCCACTCTACTTCGAGTGCTTCGGCGGCTTTGTCCCCCCTCCCCCTTCAAAAGTCAAACATTTCAGGGCCGACTAGACCACTGGGTGCGCTGAAGGCCACATCCAGTCCAAGGCGCTCAACGCTTCATCGTGCACCCCAGGAGACCCACTCCATGGCTGCGCCATTCCGGCTTCATGCGGGGCCAGACGGGCGAAGCGTCAAGTCTACTCTGCATTCACAATTTGAAGATTCCAATCAGGCTGTATGACAATGCTACTCTCTTCTGGTCAAGCTTGGAGAATGGGGAAATGGGACGATCACAATAACATGAGTCTCAGTGGTCCTCCAATGTAACGTGCCAGTACCACTCGCTGGGCGCTGAGCATGTGGTATCATGTAGTCATATATCGTGGGCTGTACTGGGCTCACATGCGACATGCTCGCCAGCAACTGTGCAACATCTGCGCTACCTTTGATTTCCATTCCTACCATGGTGACATATGTGTAGGGTTGTCAAGCCCGAAACAGCTGCATGCCAACCTTCCATCCGCACGTTGTGTCACAGCAGCTGCAGAAGACGGCATTTTAAAAAAACTAGCTACGATGGTATAGGTGTTGGGAGACGACCAGCGAAGTCAATGCGCCAAAAGCAACAGCTTTGCAATCTCCACACCGTCAGAGCCTTGCAGGCTGCATGAGCCGGGACAGGGGTGGGACCCCCCTCGTGCCGAATGCTGTCCTGGAAGAGGTCAGCGGCGTCGGAGAAGAAAGCAGGCTTTAAAGCTTGCTCTGGACTGGATACTGTCTTCGCTGACTGTTTGAAGGCTGAGCTCAGGGCCAAGAGAGCCTCACGCGGCACCTGGAACCTTCAGCAAGCTCTGATAAGGGCCGCTACACGGCGACACGTAGCTTGGGCTTGATAAACTGCGGCAGGAGGTACCGAATGCTCAGGACTGCACAAAGCGTCCACATCGCAAGAGGCAACCTGTGAAGGACACGAACGCCCTGCACCAAAAACTCAAGATTCTGTAGATTTCTTACAGATGGTCCTGCAAAGTCGAGCCGTCTGTGCTGCGCGCCGTCACAAGTGTCAGTGGCAGTGTTTCATGCTGCGCCAGCGGGAGCTCGGAGACACGCCTCTGCAACAGGTGGCAAGTCCTCTTCCATCACGTGAGCTTCGCCACCTCCAGGTGGGTAAACCATGGTGAACCCGGTTTCCGAATATCTGAATTTCTGCATTTTCTGATTTTCCGAATATCTGAATTTCTACTCGGTGGTATTTCTGAAGCACATTGGCTTGGTTTCCAGAATAGCTCCCGTTGTAGGTTTTGGACCGATTCGCCCAAGTGAACCGTTACACCCGTTACACCCCCCAAAACCCCAAAACCATGAACCAGACATAAAGCTCGGTTTGTGTGCCCTCCACACTGCCAGAATCAAATACCTTGGAGCCTGCCAGCCCAAACGCTGCCTCCCGTCTTCTGAAGTCGACGGGTTCCAGTGCCGTGGCACTGCGCATGCCCGACATCTTTTGGAAGGATTTCGTTGTGCACCACATTGATCGGGTTTGTTCGTGTGGGCATGTGTGCAGCATGTTATCGTCAGGACTGCCATCATGGCAGTCACTGTGCTTCCTGTTGATGGCGGCTCTCATTCTGGGCTGATTCTGTGCTAGGGGATGGGCACCCGCTTCGATTCTTGGCTCAGCTCTTAGGCGGATCCCGGGCGCACTGGTTGAAAGCTTCAGCTCATAATGCATTCAGTCAATCAAGTTTTGAGCCAAAGGCCTGCGATAGATGGTAACCACTGGCATCTAGCTACGGTCAACCGTGGCGCTGCGACCAGCGTCACCCACGACTGCACCAGGCAATCAACCAGCTTCGGCTAGTCCTTCTCTGCTCTGTTCAGCTTCCGGTCGCCGACAATTTGGTCAGAGCTGACATGAGCTGACAGAACTAACGCTCCCAACGCTCTTGCTACTAATGCAGAAGCGAGTTGTATTCAGATTCCGCAGAACTGACCTTACTTACCCACAGTCTCACAACAGTGAGTGAAAGCAACAAAGCTATGTGGTTGCGGACTTGGGACCTAAATCCTGAATACCACCTCGCGTGGGCTAGTTGCAGATCCTTTGCTGCAACTTTGTCAGGCAAGATCTGGTCCTAAACGACTCTGGGCCCCTTCAGAGATGCGTAACTCCTGGTCGCGCCTCGCAGAATGGGTCTGGGACAAGGCCGGGAACCGGGCTACAATATGCTCCTTCATTGCTTTCACAGGGTTCGTGAAACTACAGAGCCCTGCGGCTTCAGACCAAGATGCCGAAGGACTTACCGCACTTCCGCGTGAAAGGCAGAGACGGCACGACCACGATCCGACCGCACGCTTTCGCCCGCAAAACTGTCAGATCATCTTGTGGGCTGCTGTGTGCATCCTCTCGCAGCTAAAGGTGCTGTGAAAGTGGCCCGAGGCCTCGAATTCCACAAAAGTTAGGGGAAGGAAAACTGCCATGGGGCCATTAAGTATTCGGTGCTCGGAGCAGGCACCTCAGGAAGTCAAACCGCCCCTCCATTCCTAGAGTCCCAGAGCCTGGGGTGCCTGCAGGGCCCTGTAAGCCTCGAGAGCACAAGGCTTCTTGTGAGCCGGGGAGCTGCCTTTGCAGTCTGTTCTTCCAAACTGCCAGGCCTCGAAGAGTCGGCCTCAAAAGGGAAAAAGTGGCCAGATATGCAGGAGGTTTGAATTGAACTCGACGCTCATTTATGGGTAGACGGTCTCCGGCATGATGGGAGTGGGTGGAAGCTGCCACCAATCGGAGATCTGGTTCACCTTGGTTTGGAAGGCCGGTGAACCGAACCGGCCATGTCATGCCTCGTGTTCTCGCGGGCTTTGAATCTCACTCCTGGCCCAACAGTTAGGCAGTGACAACTCCTGAAAGCCTCACCCGGACTGAAATTGTGCAGTCTGACCAAACGTTGCAATTCGGAGCACATGGTGCCGCCGCTGCATTTGATCTGCCATGTCTCGAGAGATGCAGTGAGAAGGCGCCTTGATGCAAGATCTGCTTGGACGAATCAGGCTGGACAGTTTGGGAAGAACGGAAGGTGCAGCTACCCTGCGCGAAACGGTATGCATCTGCATGTTTCCATCCGCTCACCAAGGGTCAGTGCGGGTCATTTAGTCGGACTAAATCGAATAAGCCTGTCAAGTTCGCTCCATCTAGGTCCCGAAGTTCCCGAAGTTTGTGTCATGAGCGATGTGGCCAGAAACATTAGTTCGCGCTGGCTATCTCCAACAAGCTCATGCAGCGGTTTTACAAGCTGAAACCCTGACGAAGCGCGACATCTTCAAGCCCTTTGCAACCCCAGCGCATCAACAACAAGGCAATGGAAATGCCACGGCACCGATCGGGTTGGCTGCGCGAAACTCTTGGCTGTGTGGGATTCGAACTCCTGCAGAGCTTAGCCGGCAAACTGGTGGTGGGGCACTATGCTGCTAAGGACGATGTGCAAGCTTCTCGATCTGTTCAGGCATCTACTGTCTGGCCCCTGAACAGAGACCCGTTCTGAATTTCTGAATCTCGACACACTGCAAGAGTGTGAAGCAAAAGCGCACGGAGGCAATTTTGGTTCTCTAAATGGTAAGTTTGGTGCTTATGCTGCCCTCAGGCGAAAGCACTGCAACTGGGTTAACAGATGCATCTACTCAGGCAGCCTTCTGCAGGGCATAGTAACTGTCGGTAAGCTTGACAGTGTCTTGCCCTTGAAGGAATCCGGGCGTCAGCACCAACCCAAACTCGTTGTTCTCCATCGAGAACCTCACATTCATAAATACAAGAAAAAAGTCTGCCAGAGGTCAAAAACCACGAGAGCATCCAGAAGAACCAGGATTGGGAAGGGATGAAGTCATACCAAATTGAAGTTGACATACGGGGCACTACGACTGTGCTTTAAAATGCATGTTGCGCTTGATGGCATTACAATCGACCAACGACTCTAGGACGCCTTGCCGAGGACTCATGAATTGCTACGGTATCACCAGGCTATCACGATGCCTCTCGCAACACAGTGTTTGTGGCAGCTATGGGCAGCTGCGCGCTGATGAGGGGCTAGGCTTGTCTCTGCCCGGCCACTCGAAGGCCACCGCTCCGCTGACAAGGTCGCTCATTTTGTCCATCATAACCCCGACCTGACCAACCGTCGGAGTGGCTTTTACTGGATCTAAGCAGTCGGGAGTGTCTTGATGCATCCAGCGGCTTGGATTCACTACAACAGCAGGCAGCAGGTAGCCGGCATGGCGCTACAACTACAACACCAGCCCACGCTCCACTTCGTCACTACCGGGCGCGTCACGTGTCACCGGTTCTCAGTACCTTCCACGCGTGAACTCCTCTTCCAGCCTGCGGCCACGTTCGGCCGCCTTTGTAAGCCGGGCAAGACCACCTTGGAAAATGTTGCCAATGCTTTCAGGACCCATCGGTTTTACGCCTCTATGCATTGCTTGCACCACGAGGTGTGCAGTTGTTCGTAGCTGCTGCGGACATCGAGAAGCGTGCCAGCCAACGTTGCGGAAGAAAGAATGCACCGCACCCTCCTCAGCTGAATCGCAACCTCGTCGCTGAAAGCTGCCGATGTTACAGCCGAACTCGGTGAAAAGGAATGGCCTGCTGCAGAATTTGGCCGCACAAGTTTGGTGCCACTGTCGATTCCAATTGAGGTATGGTATGGATAAATATTCTTTAAACTTAGCCGGCGCTACGTCTTGTCTGAACTGCTTCCTGGTTACAAGCGATCCCATTGCTAGCCCTTTCATTACTGCATGGTCATGATCGTCACGATGGTGATCATGGCGGTCACCGCGACTGTATTCCGAGGTACTGTCACTCACCAGCACTACCACAACAGCACGGAAAGATCCCTTTCGCAAAGCGGCTTCGAGAAGGAAGCGAAGTCATCTGCAATCGACTTGTACGGGGAGTACTGGAAGCCTGCTGGTCTTGTCGCTGCATGCCGAGGCCAATAGCGTCAAGATGTTTCAAGACTGGAGGGACTGTGTAGTAGGGCCAGCCCAATCCACGCAATGTCTCTTTTGCAAATTTTTTAGACACTCACACTCGGACAAAGCCTGGCAAGGTCTGCAGCAATACGGTCAGTCGAAACACATTAACTTACACGTCCGATCGGTTTCATTC